TTAGTTCGACTCTGCCATTAACAAATAGGGGTGTTTTCAGCAAAAACGAATAACCCTCGAGTGCACACAATACACTAAATTTCAGAACAAATCTTGCATTAGTTACAGAAGCAGAATACCACAGTAATATCAGACGAAACAGGAAAACACTATATATTGTATTTTGACCTGAACCCTCTCTATTGCAATTCCCGGAATTACCCCCCATATGTGCAACCATTTTCCACCTTGGTATCACCCACCCCTGAAAACAAATTCTTAATACCACGCTGAAGCGTTTGGTAATAAACCTTTTTTGACCTTCGCCCTCATTCGTTAGACATAAGGCTAACTAACATATAGAAGCAATTCAAATCAAATTAGAGAGCTACAGAGATGTGAGTACTTAAACACTAAAGTCAACAGACTCGTAATAATGTAACCATCTAAATGTAAATGCTATAGGGCTAATGGTTACGACTCGTGTATAGACCCATGATATAATTACCAGTATAGTGGATTATCACGTATGACAAATGATCGACAACGTGTCTCAGAGTTAATACCTCATTCTCAAAATGTGTAATTATCTTTAAAATCATTATCCGCATTTGTAGTCTTTCATTATCCCTGCTAGTGGTGAAAATAACCATTTCAGGGTAAAATGTATGTTATCACTGCAATAATTATTGTTTTGATTTTATTTTCATTCATTTTAATATACTATTATATGGGTTATTACCGTATTCCTGCAATTCGTGCCTATTTCTCCGTTCTGTTTCCCCATGCATATATTTACTTTAGGATACACACATTTCATGAATACTTTGTTGTGGTTATAATTTGATTTGAATATGAAGAATAGACTTACATATTTTGTTTTCTGATTAACTCGGAGAACCGTTGTCAATGTTAGGTGTAGGTTTATATGGTGAGCTATGAAAATGAAAACCTTTTGATTTTTGGCCGAGTGTACTGACACTGTGTACGCTAATTTCACAGTATAACCACACGTTTTTTTGTTCTTCATGAATGGACATTGTGCATTGTATTAACATTTCACAAATCATCGGCGATGAATGTTGAGGCATACTCTTGTGTTCACACCATGAGAAGAAACCATGATCCGTATCAATTATTATATTCTCAATGTATATAGACTGTATAATTATTAAGGGAACTGATGACTGTTGTTTTCTAATATGATCGAATGTACAATCGTATCTAATCTGTTTACTCTTGTTGCTACATAACCGACGCTTCGGAAAACACTGCACGGTACTGAAATAAAGCTAGTTAATTTCCGTTACTATAATATCGCTGTTACATAAATTGACTTGATGTAATTGATCGCGTAGCTGCAACACATGCGCACATACAGTAGTCTGATTCCGACTATGGGAGCGCCATTTTGCTGTGATGCTTATAATTCTTAGTAGCGAAGCGAATGCGATATTACTGAAATGATGACAACATTGTAGTGATATCGTAATTAGTACAACTATACAACAAATGATCCCATGCTATTACTATGATCATTAGAGCCCAATTATACAAACGTCCGCAGGCTGGCTACTCATCAAATGTTAATTATTAATTTGATATTTATTATAATTTCGCTAAAGGGGCGGTGGCGCCTTCAAACGATCGAACGTCTTTACTGCTAAGAGCGCACACTTTGTCTGGTGCATGCTTGTCGAACAGTGTCATAGCAACGAACGGATTATATTCTCAATTCTATATCCTAGCGACGGGCATGGCGTGCAATCAATCGCGCTCACAATCCTCAAGGGGAGGGTTTTAAATTACGAATACAGCTCAATTAACGCACAGATTACTAGAACAACAAAACAACAATTGCAGGGGGATGTAAAATGCTCTGAACAACCACTGTTATCATCTCTCGTACTATTCGTAGCATGCAGTGCATCGCTTGTTTTGAACTCGGAACAGGGTCGTTAAGGAGCTTAAGAACTGGAGATGTGAACACATTGTTGAGGTTCAAGAAAACCAAATTAATAACAGTAAATGAGTGAGAAAAACTGTTAATAACAAAACTGTTGCCAGGTATATATGAATAAAAATGTTCGCAAACTATTCCCACAGCCCCTCAAATGGGCAACCTCTAACGTAAACATTTATATATACCTATATCCCCGAGCTACATAGCCATCTACTTAATCTCATGGTTCCCCCACTGACCGTAAATAAACGAGATCATAGACCCCAGGAAACACCTAATCGTACGTTACTGCTACCGTTCACAGTCAAACAAACCTTTCGAAGGACTACGTCATCTAGGGAAAACAAATGTGTCCAGGCCCCGTGACTAATGAACCGCTAAAGCTATATATAAAACACAGGGGCAAATACAGATACACATCCAAAGCGACACATAAACGTTTCGGGTTAATATAGGACCTAATACACGTGCCTGCACCGTACACATCAGTATACGACATGTGGCGATGAGCTGATTGAAGCTGGATAATTGATTTTATTGACATCAGTTGTTACAGTAGCAGAACGCACTCTGATGTGATGTTGTATAGTTACGTGATTACTTTAACTATTACATGAAAGTTCACAGTAATAGCCCTGTAATCTGTACTTCAGTGGTATATTCGTCTACCTGATCAGTGGAACATTAAAACAAGTGGCGTTTTATCACATTGCTGAACCTCGTCCACTGAACGTAGTATTACTTATATACATACCAGTTTCGACATGGCAGCACATGCCATTGCTGTAACTTTCTTGGTTATTGTAACTAATATTTTAACAAAGATCAATGGTGAGTACATTCATGTCTTGTTATCTTTAACTTGTTTACATTTTTACGGTTTCATAGTTGTGTTGTATTTGTACGATTACATTGAAGTCACATATCCAGTAGAAAACTACATACAATAGTTTCAATACTGCTACAAAACAATGTGTTTCAATATAGTAGAAATTTCAAATAAAACCATCAGAACATAATTTCGTATTCAATTAATCTAGAAGATAACACATTATAAATGATATGGCATATTGTATCTTAAAAACAGATCTTTTTTTTAAATGCATTTGGTTGTATAACTAATATATAAACTCGAATGGCACACACACAATCAAATTTGGACTAGGGTGTATCACCGTGATTTCATCACAAACCTGGCTTTATCGTATCGTTACCTATCTGGGTGTTTATTAATATTATTTTCAATTGGATTATTTTTACTTCGTTAGCACATAATTTACGAAGGCTGTGAGAATGAGTTACTGTAAAGAGACAATCAGTACTAGGATTAGTATTCGTAAAAGGTGCATGTTCGTGATTAAATCTAGTTTGGATGAAAGATAAAATGAATGTATTTGTGTCCCCTCCTACTGTGGGCAGCTTTGACTAATTTATTTGAAAACCTTGGCATTTAATGAAAATATCAATGATCTTGGTATGTGACGTACCGTATTCGACCCATCAACGCGAATCATTCAAGAAAATTCCAAGAAATTGTAATTACAGTTTACACGAAGCTCGAACGCGCTGAGGCTGCTGTGCCTTAAAAACAGAGAAGTGTATCTGGAATGTTCGAAAATTACATTTCATGCTTTTTTTATACTTGCCTCTCGAGTTCGCAAATTCTATTCTATCTATCATTAATAAATTTGATTATGTATTCCATTTATGAAAACACTAATTTTTTTCGACGACGTTTATTAAATCCAAGAGTCCCAGATGAACTTCGTTTGTAATTTAATTTACTTTCAATTGACAGGGGAGAATACACCACCCTTCTGCGTGCCAGATTGGTATACGTTTGGCCCGGTGATCGATGGCACAGTCGGGCCTTCGCATATCGGTAATGTATCTTGTAGCGACCATGACTCGGACAATGTATATTATTCCGTAATATCCGGAGACACGGAAGGAGCATTCAACGTTTCTGAATTTGGATCAATTGAACTTAAGGCTGGATATGTGATCGATTTTGAAGCATCTACAAGTTACGAGGTCAGTTTAATTAATTATGTTTTTGACTTCAAGACTTCACCGTACTAGCCATGTGAAGCGATTTAGTTAATCCTGGGAGCGGGTGGAGGTGGCGCTCGCGGGAAATGCTTTATGACGATGCTCAGCGCTTAAGGCGTGTACAAACCTTCTATATTCATTTTGTTTAGGGTACAACGCTAGTATATTGGACGTACTCGAGTTTTAGTATAATATGGCAGTTGTAAAATATTGCCAATAAAACTACAGTATAATAGCTACTTCTGGTTATAAAGTCTTACTTTGCTGTGGTTTCATGACTAATATTTGACAAGAGTTTCAAATATTCTTGGACCGTGACTGGCGATACAGCTAGATAATGTAGAACCATTAGCACGTCATTCTGACGAGGATTCCATTAAATCAAAATAAGATCTGCAAGATATCGCTACCACCAATTACACGCTAACATCGACGCGATAGAACCAGGCTTAAAGTGACAATAATATACAGACGATACACGTTTCAACTAGTGCTTGCATTACTTTCTATATAATAGTTCTCAGTGGGATTTAGTGGGTGGTGAGCAACCGTGATTTGCCAGCCAATTCAGCATTCCTTGTAGTGAATACCTAGCAAAATGTGCCATTAAAATTAAATGTGCTTATACTTTAAAATAAAAGAGGTTATAGGAGTCAGCTTCTTTAATGTGTAGTGTAATGTTTCAACAACTGTCTTACAATTTATTCAAAAGAAAAGTCAGTGTGATATACGTGTTTGCTGAGAAAAGAAAGTGCCAACACACAATTCCGGTGACATATGTATGCGAATAGACCTATTTCCACCCATCATTCTAATATCAGATTCAGGAGAATATTGTACTTATTGTTTTTCAACAAGAATTTCTTATCGCATATTATGAGTGACATTTGCAGTCTTGCAAAATGATGCACACCTTGTGATCTATCCACATATTTATGTAAATGCCAAGTGTCACTAATCCGATTCCTTATAGATACGTTTTCACAAATGTCTGGAAATTGTCCAGTGAAATATACACTTATATATAAACTATATAACTAGATTCAGACAGCATTAACTGTTTCTTTTTAACGTAAAACTATATGTAATAGCTTCGCGTTGAAAAGTAAACATTGTCGATCGCCCACGTGTTGCCGTAGGTAGAGCATACCTTCTGAATGCATATCAGCCGATAGCTGATTAATGTAGTTAGATCAGTTTTACGCAAAAACGTGGAAAACATGTTCATATATATGACAACGCGGAATCCACTCACTTCATCCAGTGAAATGCCGTTTCCATAGAAACATACGCTAAATGTTTTGAACTGAACAATTTGTTATGTCCCCGAGAGAGGAAATGGATTGGAAATCGGAATATAAAGCAGCAGGTGTACCATGACATATTCTGAATTATTATTTACAACAAATTGTTTGGTGGGATAATGTCTTTCTTTCCATCTGTCTCTGAGTATTTTATTTTTAACTATCCGCCTGTTATGAAAATCGTTGCCTAGGTAACAAAAGAAGTTATACTATTGATGTATATGCATGATGTATATGCAATTTTCTCGATGAGTGCACTGACTCAGAGTAACGTTGCATATAATACCCCTATCGACAGGAAGTTCGCATATACCAAAATTCAATGTATTATGATAACATTTGCTTGTGTTCAATTTCAATGAAAACAACAAACCAATAACTGGGTCATTCAATCTATGTGACGACCAATTTCGACTGTTAACACTTTTAGTTACACGAATGATATGCGAGTTGCACGGGACGTTCGTAACGTTGCAGGCTCGATGACTGTGTCTCGTTTTTTTATTTACTTGTTTGGTTTAATTTTTAGCAAATTAATACAAACATGTGCTAGGGACAATGCGTTGAACAATTTTGTCAGGCTATAGCATAATTAAAAAAAACGAGATGCAGGTTTTTAGCACAATGTCAAAAAGAGATTACTCAAAAAGAAAAAGAAAAAAAAAGCCTGCAGAATAATATGGAACTGTTTAGAGAATGAATGAATTATTATTATTAAATTATGAAAGTTACTGTTCATAAATAAGTTATTGTACACACTACATATTTTGTAATTTTATTCAGCTTATTTCATTCATAATTCAAGACAAATGAAATGCAATAATGTAATAAATTATATTTTGTCTTTAATATTCCGTGCAATACAATTCGTTACGAAATATGCTTAATACACTGCTTTTTCTGAATTCTTCAAGAAACGACTGAATTTCACAATGTCGAAAAACGGAAAGCTTTTAGCGAAGTGTTTCATAGAGAAACCAATAGAGTAATATTCTAGTATGTACGCGTATATTCAATGGCACTCCGATAGGTGAATATAAACAGTTTTTACAAGACTACACTTAAATCGGCGCTGCATTATTCACGAAACCCTGGAGCATAAATAGATGGAAGACTCGTACGAACCCCTGTGCAATTACGATTTAAACCATTCTTCTATATAATATGTTGAGCGTACAAACCCCCACCGACACAAACTTATACTACAAATAAGCAATGAAATCACGTGAAATGTGTGTGTGATTGAATACAGTAATGTACTATTTATGCTCTGGATCAACGGCTACAGGGGGGGGGGATAACTAGGGTGATGACATTTTGTAATTACGAGTAAGACAGATGAATGTTCCGTGGTTAAGCTTAACTGTAATTTGTCATGTTATTAATTTGTAGCTTTTGTTGGAAGTAACAGACTTGATAAACTCAACCACAGTCACCGTATATATCACAGTAACCAGTCGAAATGAATATGCTCCCGTATTCAATAACACAATTCCGTATTCAGCGGAAATCTACGAAAATGCATCCGTTGGCGGCGTTTTTCTCACAGTATCGGCCTCAGATGGTGATCACCCGGACACGGGGGACGGGCGAATTAGATATGCAGTCACAGGTAAATAACTTACGATGTATCCTACATTACGGCGATTTTGAACCAATTTTAATGGCTACTTTTCCTCAAGACGGTCTAGGGCATAGGGCCCCGTATTTTGAAACATATGGTGATTTTCAGCCTCTGCTTAAACGATGACAGGCATAGTTGGCTGTACACAATAAATAATCGTTGAGGCGTGTTTTTCGCTTGCTCGGTCACATCAAATTAACATCCAATGGCAACCTGAAATCTGAAATCCAATGCCAAACACACGTTCCGACCTCGTTATGTCACCTAGCAACGACTAGAACAAAATTGTACTAGTAAGTTGTTGTTGATTGGTCGTTATTCATACCGCTACACGGTTATTTATTTTGTGTTACAACAGGCGGCGATCCTGATGGCCAATTTCGAGTAGGTTTGTATTCGGGAGGAATATCTCCTCGACTCGCACTCGATCGTGAAACGACGTCTTCCTATACTATAGAGATAACTGCCACCGACGAGGGCGCTATACCGCGTTTATTCGACGTTACAAACGTGTCGATTACCGTACTAGATGTGAACGACAACACGCCGTATTGTGATCATGACGTCATAACAGTCTCAGTAGATGAAAATTTACCAATCCTGACAAATGTGACGTCGCTTCGCTGTGATGATGATGACGACGGGCCAAACTCCGATCTGGTATATAGCATACTCAAAGGTAACAATCAACTTATGTAGTCGCCACCCTGACGGCGTCGATGACGTTATTATTTTGTATACAATTAATAATTACCAAACTGTTGATCACAATGTCTCCTGATAGTACCCAACCATACTCTTTTGGCAATCACTGTTTCACGAGTAAATCAAATTCACGTCATGATATTCACAGGCAATACAGTCAAGTTCCGTATCGACATATATGGTGTCGTGCTTATTAACAGCTTGATTGACTATGAAACCGACGCGCATGCCTGGTCATTGACGATAAATGTGGCGGACCAAGGCGACATACCGTTATCAACAACCGTGGATATTACAGTCATTCTGAATCCAGTTAATGAGTGGCCAGTTGTCTTCCCAGGCCCCACATACGGGAACTTTACATTTTGTAAGTTGTTTGCCTTTTTCACGTATTACTTTAAAGCGCATCGCGTCGTGTTCCATACGGCTTCCATGAAACATACATTGTTTGTTTGCTGTACGACTCGAGTGCAGCACTTTACCCGTCGTGTTCGAAACGATATGGGTCCCATGCGATATACACAATGCATGTAAAATACCGCTAGAGGTGCAGAGGTATGGCTTTTGACACTCTGTACATGAAATTTGAGATCTATGAATGAATTCTGTCGATGAAAACAACTTGTATGTGCTGCGAAATGCCCTAAATATCGGGTATAAAACGGGCTGTGAAGCAGACGACAAACTTCCGCCTTTCCTGGTGTCATTTCGCCTC